TGAGTTTGGGCGACTGGAACAATGGAATTAGCCGAAAATAGGGCTCAAAGTGGGCGAAATCGCCGATTTGTAAACAGCGCCGAGGTCGCTAACTTCGCGAGAGCATAATTCCGTCAGTTTTCCATCAAATTTCGTTTTTTTGGTGTCATTACAATCGGGAAAAGATTCTCTATCATTTCATAAGAAAAAATATTTTTTTTTTTTTTTTTTAATTTTGCGACACCAGGAGACACCTCAGGATTGGGGGTTGCGACAGTCAAAGGGTTAATGTAATATTATTATTATTACAGTATTACACTACAGTAGATTAAAAAAGAAAGTACTAAACTATATGGATCATGCAACACTACAAATTATTAAGGGTGAAGAAGTCTAAATGTAATGGTTACAAACTTTGGCAACTGGCTCAGTCTAATAACCCTGAACAGCCAAAATGTTAAGTAGAGCAATAATAGAAAACTTTTCATTAGTCAACTAAACTTAAAGTGTGTCAATATCCCTTTCTACAGCCACAACTAAGACTTCTGCCAAAACAGACTATCTACTAATTTTTTGTGCATCAGCATTGGCCTAAAGTTGAGCGTATCGATATCAGTGGGTGTCAGCTAATTTTGATGGTATCAGTATCAAGTGGGTACTAGCCAATTCTGATGTCATCAGTATCAAGTGGGTACTGGCCAATTCTGGTGGTATCAGTATTGGCAAAGAATTTGGTATCATCTCATCCCTAATATGAATAATAACAAGTTACAATTTAACATTAAATATTCAGCAACCACGCTAGACAATAAAGCAAATTAACTAAACTGCATCTTGTGATGATTATGTAAATACTGTACACAGGACACACTGTCAAGAAAGTAAACGAAACTGATTAGGTACTGCTAATAATTCTGCTCTTAAGAAGCTGCATCATTAATACTAACCTCTCAAACTTTCAACTTTCTTTCAGTAACATTTACAGCATACTTCACATGAACAGATATATTACACTAAAACAAGTGTAAATGGTACACCAACAATATCTGAATAAAGATCTTCCAAATAATAACAACAATAGTCAGTCATTGTTCTATATGTTTCAGCATTTGAGCTTATAAGAGGTCAATATATTTTCCTGCAATAATAGCTACAGGTTTCCCCTCACTTTATGTGGGGTCGCTTTATGTGTTGTTCTATTTCTGATTGTAATCTCCTACGTGCGACATGCATTTGCCACGTGATCGGTAATGCTCACAAAATGTACTGGAGATTCTTAATATGTGGAATGGGTGATATTCTGAATGATCGAAGTACAGCTGCCATGGGCCTGGAACGCATGTACTGCATAAAGCGAGGGTCACCTGTACCATAATAATTACACCATACACTGTAGTTGTAAGCAATTGTTAGTGTAACATAAGTGCTAATACTGAACACCTTATAAAAAGCACAGGAAGAAAAATTTTGTCCCAAGCTCACATTGCTGGAAGATGAATACCAAATTCAAGCAATGTTGCACATTATAAATCCTGATAAATATGACAAGCTGAAGTAATAAACGACCCTGTTATTTACAGATCTAAACACAAACATCAAATGTAAGAATAGTGCTTTATCAAGAGCTATATAAATTTTTTCCATGTTAACCTTACTGGACAACAACAAATAAAATTAAAACTGTATACACACAAAGATAACTCAGGTTCAGCGACACACCAATGCAATTTATCTACTTGAGCAGGAAAACTATTTGCTATGAGAAACATTTAATGAGCCTTTAGTTAAAACATACTGAAGAGCTTTAATGAAAGACCAAAATTATGTACAAGAGTTTGTGGTGTACTGAGCAGTTTGATGCTAGTACAGCCTCTCCTCACTTAATGATGGAGTTCCATTCTTAAGACCACATAGGTAAACGAATTTGTCGCTAAGTGAGGAGCATATTATAATGGTGGGTGGGTTTGTGTAAACCATTTTTAATACTGCTTTAATGCCACCTTTGCACCATTTATAACATTTCTGGTATATTTTTAAATGTTCACACAGTGTGCACTGTATACTGTAATAAACAGAATAGACATCAGCTCTAATATACATTATTTAGGTATGCATGCTGGTCAGAGAGCCTGTCGTAGGTCCGAGTCATCGGTAAACAAGTACTACATCGCTAAGTGAGCAGAGGCTGTACATTAAAAGAAGAAACTCCAGGATGTAATGCATCAAATCAAGGTAAGAGAATTAGAGTAGGGTGTGAACTTATAGATATACAGTGAACCCTTGATTAGTATGAATTGAATAATGCGAAATTCAATTTAGACGAATTATAAAATACTAGACCTTATTTAATGTGAGTCACAATTCAGTTAGGACGAGTTTGCTGCCCATCCCATTGCTCCTGCTCTTGAAAAGATGTGCCACAGCTTGTTACCCTATACAAGTTTACAGTACTAAATGCTGACAAACTGCCTTTAGCAAATACGGATAAACAGGAGAATACTCAGTGCAATTAATGCAAGTGAAAAAAGGCTTGTTATTATATCAGAACAAGAAGTTTATATAATAAAGCTACATGCAAATGGTAATAGCATCTCTAAAATAAGCTGAGATATTGGAATGGAATGGTGCTTAATATTATAAAACACACAGATGAAATAAAAGAAAAAGGTACAGCAGCATTGGCTTTTTTGTGGCTTCAAACAGCTACTAGAAATAGAGGTATTACAGTGATGGAAAATAAAGTCTCTTATCAAACATAAGCTTAGTCTTTCTTTACAGCAGTGAAAGAAAACTGATTTAATGCAGAAACTGAAGAAACTTTTATTGCAAGCAATGAGTGGTTTGACCATTTTAGAAAATGAATTCAGTGGCATAGTGTTAAAATTATTAGTGAGTCTGTCATTGCAGATAAAGAAGCTGTCACAAGTGCAAGCTGTTGTTGAAGAAATAACAGACATTGGAAGGTGGCTTGGTTTTGATGAACCGGACTCTACAAATGTCTGACTTGCTCGAATCACACTCGCAAGAAATGACTGATGGAGACCTTCTTAATACAGATCAATGCTAAAATGAAATAATGTTTTTGTTGATTAGTTTATAAAATACTTGAATAAGAAATACATTTTTATTATCCTTTGGTAATATAAAAAATTTTCATTGCATGTTGTATTTTCACTGGAGTGGGACCAATTATCATACTTTGTGTTATAACAGCTTCGAATAGCATGAATTTAATTAATGCAATAGTTTAGCAGGATTCATTATTCATAATAATCAAGGCTTGTCTGTCAGTTTCTGTGTCTGTGTGCACGCATGCACATGTACGCGTGCGTGTCTGTATGGTATTTATGTCTGTATTACTTATAAAGCTGAACTTAACCCTTAAACTGTCCAAATGTAGATCTACACTGACGTGCGTAGCGCTCCGAACGTAGATCTACTTTTTTTTACATGCTTTTAAATGGAGAAAATAAAGGTCAGAGCGCTACCCACGTGAACGTAGATCTACGTTTGGACAGTTTAATGGTTAATGACCTGGCTTATTCGGCAAGTAATGTAAGTCTTCCCACCCAACCTATTAAAGGTAAGTCCAAATTGATTTCATATTTCTTTGTTTCACTGATATTTAACACAGAGTATTAAAGTGTAAATGCAGAACAAGATAGTGCTACAGAAGGGAATTAATAATTTACTTATACATGCCATCAGTATTTGTAAAGTGTGTGTTTCACATGCTATCTGTCAAATTTACAGAAGACAAGCACATGTTGCATTATATCAATTACACAATCTGTCAACATCAATTACTAGAGATTCAATTAAAATGGTTTGATAGTTAAAAATAAATGAGATAGCACCCTATATACCAAATATGGCACTGTAAAATTATTACACATCAAATTTTTGTAATAGTACTGTACTTTACTGTCAGTTCCTTATGTTGCCATATGATGCAATAATAATATCAAAGATCCTTGATGAATTTCAGATTTTTTTTTATATTATTAATGAAGTCTTAAGTCAGGCTTGCCCAAAATGCTCTACATAACTATGGGCTTTCTGCATGCATAACCAAATGTCACTCATTTTCTGTACAAACATTGTATCATGTAGAAATAAATCTCGAATTTTTTATTCTGACTTCCAGTACTTTTAGTCAGTAATCTAACAATAAGGTTCTTCTGATATTTTGATAGCAGTAAATATATTAAGCTTGTACAGTATAGTGTGTAATAAAACACAAGACCACCTGAGGTAGAGGCTCAACACAGATAATAGGAAGTGTGTGTGTGCACAAAAGAAAATTAAAAAGATTAAAATTTTGTCAAGTGAGAAGGGCAAACACAGCTGCAACAAATGTACATAGGGTACTAATGCTCCATAGGTGCACATTGGTGTGTCAGTGTCCTGATTATATTGCAGCTTTCCAAAATAAGGATCATAATACAGAATGCAATTTATGCCCCTAACTGAGTAACAAAAACAATGAATTGCATGTCCAATTTATTTTTACCCTATGCACAAGAAAAGAGAACCATGAAAAATTTGGTGACAAATATAAAAATAAGCTAGTGAATACAGTTCAACAATTGAAAAGTAGCTAATTATAAACAAAGATTTAACAGGAAACAATTTTGCATTACAACTTAAATCCCACTGCATTAAAAAATTATGAATTGGATAAATTTATTGTGAAGTAGAAGCGAATTCAGTCCACTGGTAAGAAACTCTTGCATTTAATTTTATCCCTACATCATGAACATAACACTTCCATACAGATATCCTTGAGCTGATGGATACAGCACTGATGATTTATGGCTGCCTTCCAACGAAATATAAATTCATGTCCATTTCATATACTACATAGCCTCTGGTAGCCAACACGATGACAGACAACAAAATGAAGACCTATACATCCATGATTCACCCGCACAGCACACTTTTAAAGCACACAGCAGAAGTGAACCTATATTCGTATTAACATTTTTTTCAAATTAACCTACAAACTGAAGCAACCTTACCATCATTTAATCTCATCTTCTTTTCAGCAGGTTCATGAAAATCTGTTTCTCCATTCATCTGTAACAAAACAAATATATATGAATGATTAGAAAATCAATAGTCACACTTTCAAATTTAACTGAACATGCTTTTAACACCTAGGATAACCCAAGAAAGTCATAATGTCTTATTTCCATTGGGATTAAAGCCCAAAGCAAAGTAGTGGGACTTACTTCCATTTCAGTCCCTTACATCCTATCCCTTAAAATACAATCCACAAGTCAACAAATTCCTAGGTACAGTACATACCAGTATCTAACCAAACCAGAGTATGGATGGGGTTAGAACTCATGGCAACTTAGTCTTAAAACTCTAGACCAGTGCATAACCCTACCTGTATCGTGGTTTGTTTGCAATCATGTTATTACGATTTCACGAGTCATATCAGTATCTATTTACTGCTAGGTAACTAAGTACCTGGTGTTAGGAGACATTCCCATGTCTCACCTTTCCCAGGATGATAATATTTAATGGGAAGTACTAGATCCCTAGGAGTCATACAGCACCTTGGGAATAAGACACATCAGGTATGACCCCAGGAAAAGGTAGGACAGGTCCAATTTCCTGATTGCAAGCCCTTCACCGGCATTGAGAACTACATCTGAGGGGTCACCCAGGATACAACCTTGAGTCCTTTTGGTTGTGACCTGAATGTTCTACCACTGAGTTACCACAGCTTAGTAATGCCTAGGTATCTGCTGCCAGGTGAAGAGAGGCAGGTGTAAGGAGAGTTCCTCATACATCTAAGCACACCTGGGAATCCAACCCAGTCTTTCTGTTGTGACCCAAATACTGTGATAAAAGTGTCAACCAAAGTTACAGTGCTGTATGACCCTTGTGGGTTGAGCACTTAGTTCTGATTGTAATAAAAATAATACAAAAGCCACAAACAGTATTCAGTGGACCCTCCGCCATTCGGCAGCTGCAACTTTTGTGATATAGTCCAACTGGGCTTGTGTAGGTCACTAAGGGAGACCTAATTTAACAAATTATATGGTCACACCTTGCTTTGGCAAATAGCTGTCAGAGACACACCTTTCAGCTTAGTCTGAGGTCTTTTGTTCTTGATGGCGTCAGGTCAAAACACGTGGTGCACACCCCATTGTGGGGGGTGCTCCTCTCACGACAACATAAGCCCAAGGAACAACTGAGGAAGGAGACTTCGAGCGGAGGTGCTGCTGTATGCAGAGCACTGAGCAGCAGACTGGCAGAGCTCTGGCCTGTGGGTGGAGCTCTGGCCTGTGGGCAGAGCTCGGGAGAAGGCTGCTGGAGAGTCGAGCAGAGCTCTGGCCTGTGTGCAGAGCTGAGCTGGAGAGTCTCGGGAGGAGAGACTGTTGGAGACATTGGGCAGAGTACTGTCCTGGAGCAGTACTTGGCTGAGTAGGTCTTGGGACCTGTGGCTAGTGTGTGGCTTAGTTCCTGTGGTGAACTTTCCTCTGAACTATATTGTAAGTTTCATCATTTAATTGTATTCACTGTCTCACTGCTTATATGTACCATCTCCATTTATCTAAACCCCAATAATGTTCTGTTCCCAAATATACTATTGTACAAGGACTTAATAAACTGTGTTTGAGTGGAATAGTAATATTCACTGTCCCCGTTATGTATTTCTATTTCTTAAACTTCATTTTGTTTATATATGGTGGAGCAAGTGAAGAGTGGGCGAGTCATATGGTAGTGAGTAGTGTAGAGTTAAGGAGTGTGTCGTGGTCACCACTGACCTGTCATACCTACCTCTGCCTCGACTCACCTCTTGCCCACCTCTCCTGCCAACTCCCTCACCTTTCCATTCCAATACCTTCCCTACACGACACTCATGAAATCCGACTTTCGGCAAGTTTTTTCGGAAAAATTTAGCTTCGCAGTTCGCGATTGGACTCGTGATTCGACGATCGTCCGGTACATGTCTGCCCATCACCGCACACACAAAGCCAGTCTCCCACACTATTCACACTTAGTGTGCCATTATTTACCAGCACATGACCATCACCCCACGGGTTCATACAATACATTTCATAATAATCCATTTTTTTTGTGCTTGCAACTGCTAAATAAATCACCATGGACCCAAGGAAAGCTAGTGCCAGCCCTTTGGTAAAGAAAGTGAAGAACATAATCGAATTCAAGAAGGAAATCATTGAAAAATGTGAGAGCGGAGTGCATGTTACAGAACTTGCCAGAATGTATGGCAAACTCCATTCAACCATCACTTTGATCATAGTGAAGGGAAAGGAAATAAAGTGTGCTGTTGTTGCAAAAGGGGTAGATATGCTGACAAAAAAGAGATTGCAAACCCTCGAAGAAGTGGAAAGGTTATTGTTGGTGTGGATTACCCAAAAACAGTTAGCAGGAGATAGTATTATGCAGCTGATAATATGTGAAAAGGCAAGGCAGTTACATGACGATCTCGTAAAGAAAATGCCTGCAAGGAGTAATGATGCTTGTGATTTTAAGGCCAGCAAAGGTTGGTTTGAGAGATTTAAGAAGCGTAGTGGCATACACAGTGTGGTAAGGCATGGTGAGGCTCCCAGTTCTGACAAAAAAGTGGCTGAGAAGTTTGTACAGGAGTTGAAGGAGTACATACACACTGAAGAATTCAAACCCCAACAAGTGTTCAATTGTGCGAAAAAGGCCTCTTTCAGAAGAAAATACCAAAGAGGACCTACATCACGCAGGAGGAAACAGCACTCCCAGGACACAAGCCTATGAAAGACAGTTTAACTCTCATGATTTGTAGTAATGCTAGTGGGGGATTGCAAAGTGAAGCCTTTACTGGTGTATCACTCTGAAAATCCCAGTGTTTTCAAGAAAAACAGTGTCGCCAAGAGTAATTTGTGTGTGATGTGGAAGGCTAACAGTAAGGCATGGGTCACAAGGGAAATTTTCCTTGACTGGTTTAACCCCTTGACTGTCGCAACCCCCAATCCTGAAGTGTCTCCTGGTGTCGCAAAATTTAAAAAAAAAAAAAAAAAAAAAAAAAAAAAAAAAAATTCTTATGAAATGATAAGAGAATCTTTTCCCGATTGTAATGACACCAAAAACACGAAATTTGATGGAAAAATGACGGAATTACACTCTCACGAAGTTAGCGACCTCGGCGATATTTACAAATTGGCGATTTCGCCCACTTTGTGCCTTATTTTCGGCTAATTCCATTGTTCCAGTCGACCATACTCATAGCTCTTTATTTAGAACTCCATTTTTTCTATCAATTGAGTACAAGAAACTGCCCATTTACCGATTTCAACTACCCAATAATGTGGTCAGAAATTTGCAATTTGGCCAATTTCACGAAAATTAAAAAAATATGACAATTTCAAAATAAGGTCCAGAATGAACAATGCAGACATTCCTGGCTCTAAAATAACATTTTCTTTGTTCATCAGTCATGTCTCCAGGCCCCTTTGATATTACTCTTGCTTTCTATTTTGAATTTTTATTCAAAAAAAAATAGAAGATTTACTGTTATGCAGACTACTGCAATACTGTAATAATTGTATAAATAACAAACCCATTCGTGACTGCATATTAGAATGGCTACCTGGACATTTATTGGACAATGACATCATTTGTTTACTTTTGAACATCGGCAAAAATCAAACATTTCCCCTACTTTGAGCTCCATTTCCAGGTTCTTTTTATAGAAAAATCAATCAAAATCACCTCTATTTCTATAATATATTTTCCATTCTATCAAATGAGACCAAGAAAACGAGAATACAACCATAAATACTATACGAAAATAGACCACAAAGTCGGCATTTTAATTAAAAAAAACGGTCGGATTTTTTTTTTTCTCATTATGCACTGCATGCTCCAGGATTTTTTTTATATGGTGCACATTGACCACACAGACCCATTCTCTCACATGTGGGCCTATCAGCTTTCTCCTGCTTGATTTGAAGCCGCTAGAATTTATGAGTATATATACGTCAAACACAGTACCTCGTAAGACGTATATATACGACCTCGACAGTCAAAGGGTTAATGAAGTGTTTGGCCTGTGTGAAGAAATACCTCCTGGGAAATAAATTGCCACTCAAGTGCCTCCTGGTAATGGGCAATACTCCTGCTCATTCTCCAGACTTGGAAGAGTAAATGGTGAAGGAGTTTAGTTTCATCACGGTGAAGTTCTTGCCCCCTAATACAACTCCTCTCCTCCAGCCCATGGACCAGCAGGTCATTTCAAACTTCAAAAAACTGTACACCAAAGCAGTGTTTCAAAAGTGCTTTGAAGTGACCTCAGACACTGAACCGACCCTAAGAGAGCTCTGGAAAGATCACTTCAGTATCCTCACTTGCATAAACCTTATAGGTAAAGCTTGGGAGGGAGTGACTTATATAACTTTGAATTCTGCTTGGAGAAAATTGTGGTCACAATGTGTACAAGACGGGGATTTTGAAGAGTTTGGGGCTGACTCTAAGGAGCCTATGACAATTGTGGAAAGTATTGTGTAACTGGGGAATTCCAGGAGGTTGGACGCAAGTTTCGAGGATGTGGAAGAGTTGGTGGAGGACCACGATGAAGAGCTAATCTGCAACAGCAAGAGACCACAGCTCAGGAAATTGCTGCAGAGGAAGAGAGATGGAGGAAGGTGCCTTCTTCAAAGATTAAGGACATTTGTGCAAAGTGGACTGAAGTGCAATTATTTATGGATGAACTTCACCCTGACAAAGCTGTTGCAGGCTGTGTTGGCAACATGTGCAATGACAATGTTGTGTCCCATTTCAGACAAATCTTAAAGAAATGCCAGAAACAGAGCTCTCTGGACAGATATTTTGTGCGACAGGGGGTCCAGTGACTCAAGTTGTTCCCAGTGTCATTAAAAAACAAAGAAGGGCAGTAACCCCAGATAAGGACTTGGTACCTGAAGTCTTTGCGGAAGAGGATTCCCCTTCCAGTCATCCATCCACCCAGAAAAGTCTTCAGTAAAGGTAAGCATAATGTTATTATTTTACATATGTATATACTTGATTTCTCATTGTTTTCTGTATGTAAATCTTTACTTAATTTGAAAAAAAAAATTAATATTTTTGGGTGTCTGGAACGGATTAATTTTATTTCCATTATTTCTTATGGGGAAAATGGTTTTGCCATTTGGCAATTTTGTCATTCGGCAGACTCTCTGGAACGGATTAATCACAAAACTCGGGTCCACTGTACTGTACATACCTTGAGCAAAAATAATCTAAAATCTCAAATTATGTAAAGCACTAAATCTATAAGTGTTATACAGTACATCACCTGGGGAAATGGGAAGCAATTAGGTAAGAGCCAAGGAAGGGAAAAAAAAAAGTTAAATTTCTTGAATCAAGAGCACCTCACCAGAATCAAGGTGCCTTGAGGGGTTAAAATTCCGAAATCTTGACTTACAATAAAACGAACCATTAGCTCTGGGAAAGCACCAAACCTACATGGGTTAGGTGTCCCGTAGTTTGGTTGGTAGCGCTCAGCCCACACACTGAGTGTCCGTGGTTCAATCCCCGGTACAGGTGGAAACACAAGGCATTTTTCCTTACGACACCTGCTGTCCCTGTTGACCCACCAGTAAATAAGTATATGGGTGTTAGCCAACTGGTGTGGGTCACATTCTGGGGGACAAGATTAACCTAAGCTGCCCGAAATGCTCTACATAGCCAGGGGCTTTCTATACTTGTAGAAATAAAAAATCATTATTATAGTTCACATAGCATGGGGAAACTGGAGGAAACCAGGTTAGATCCTATGAAGAGAAAGGGAAGGTCAGTGCCTTGGATCAAGAGAGGGTTAACTAAATTTATGTTGGTTTGAGTTAGGCTTAATTAGTTTTGAAAAATGTACAAGGAAATATAGTGAATGCTATGTATACAGTATGTCCTCAATGTTATTTCGTTCAACATTGTTTCGTTGTAACAGTGACGAGGAAAAAACTGATTCCCGGCTGGGGCCACTGTCTGTGTGGAGTTTGCATGTTCTCCCCACATCTGCATGGGTTTTCTACGGTTACTTCAGTTTCCTCCCAAAGCCCAAAGATGTGCACGTTAGGTTAACTGGCATGTCTAAATTGTCCCAGTATGACTAAGTGTTGGTGTGTGAGGTCTCCCTGAGATGGAATGGCATCCTGTCCAAGGATGCCAAGGAGGAGTGCCTTACAATTTCCACTTTGCAAATGCTTATGCCTTGATTTAACCCTGTTGCAATGAATGCTAAAGGTGCACTGTGCACTCCTGATGTTTTTATCAATTAGCCTATGGTAAAATGATACATCATTTGACTTAAAGTTGCAGTTTCCAAGAACCTATCGACGACATTTATACCTCAAGTATGCCTGAAGAGGGTTTTGGGGGGTCAACACCCCCACGGCCCAGTCTGAGACCAGGTCTTGTGGTGGATCAGGGTCTGATCAAACAGGCTGTTACTGCTGGCCGCATGTAAACCGATGTAAGAATCACAGCCTGGCTGATCAGGTATTGACTTTAGATGCCTGTCCCCATGTCTGCAGGACTTACTGTACATTATTTGCAAAATGTAAGCTGCATGTAGATTTAATATGCAGACTGCTATAGTAAGTTTCCACAACCTAACTCATGAAATTGTAATTATATGATTGCAAACAAATAGCAGAATGGACGAGACTTGCGCCCATGGCAAGCAAGTCCTAAAACTCACAAGTTAATATGCTATCCACTGGACAGATACCTAAAGTCGGTGCCGGATCAGCCGGGCTGTGGCTCGTACGTTGGACTGCGTGCGGCCAGCAGTAACAGCCTAGTTGATCAGGCCCTGATCCATCGGGAGGCCTGGTCGTGGACCGGGCCGCGGGGGCGTTGATCCCCGGAATAACGTCCAGGTAACCTCCAGGTAACCCTAATAGGATTTGTCCAACTGGCCACATTTCTAAACACCACAAGGTAAGCATGGTCCCCACTGTGACCATGCTAACCTCCATATGGTGTATAGATATATACCTAGCCAGATGAATCTAATTACACCTACCTGGAGTATACCTGGAGGGTGTTCCGGTCCATGACCAGGCCTCATGGTGGATCAGGGCCTGATCAACCAGACTGTTATTGCTGGCCGCATGCAACCCAACATACGAACCACAGCCCGGTTGGCTGGGTCTGGTTGGTCTGTCCAGCTCCCTCTTGAAGACAGCCAGGGGTCTGCTGGTATGGTCCAGCAAATAACACACTGGTCTGCAAGCTTTAGGATCTGCTTGTCATGACTTCAATAATTACAATCATGGGGGAACACTAAACCCGTAGGATTATGCAGTGCATGTGGGGGGATGAGAGGTATTCAGGCTTAATTCAGGGAACCAGAGCACAGATCCAATTCCCCAGATCAAGAGCCCCTCACCAGTATCAAGGAACTTCCCTCGAGGGGATCACGGGTTCAAGCCTCACCAGTTCTGATCCTCTTGTACTCTCCATCAGGAGCTATGTCTTATTTCCATTATGTGTCCCATAGCTCAGTTGAAACATTAGGATGTTTTTCCTTAAGACACCTGCTGTCCATGTTCACCTAACAGTAGCTGGTCCAGTGGCTAACGCAACGGTCTGGAGTTTTGAGACTCTCTGACCGCGGTTCAATCCCGCCCGTGGTATGGTTTGTTTGCAATCGTGTCATTACGATTTCGTGATTCATGCTGACGGCATTGAGGGGACTTGAGCTAGAGTTCATCACAGCCACGCTAGCTGGAGATTCGTCTGTAAAAACTTGCATTTGTGGTCACAGTGGTGCCTGTGCTAACCTTACTATGGTGTAGAAATATACCTAGTTGGACGAATCTTATTGTGGCTAGCTGGTCCAGTGGCTAATGTACGATCTGGAGTTTTGAGACTCTCTGACCGCGGGTTCAATCCCGCCCGTGGTATGGTTTCTAACAGTAACTAGTGTGGGTCACATCCTGGAAAAAATTGACCCAATCTGCGAGAAATGTTCAGCATAACAAGCGGCTTTCTATATAGTAGTGTGTCACTGATGTCAGCTATGGTCTCTATACCTTGTACATGTACCTGTAAAACTAATTATAATTATTATTGTGTTCCTTCAATCTTGTCCCCAGGATGCAACCTACACCAGTTGACTAACACCCAGGTACCTACTTGAGCAGGGACAGCAGGTGCAAGGAAACATCTCCGTTTCCACCCATGACTGGAACTGAACCCCGGACAGTGCATGAGGCGACTGCGCCAACAACCAAGCCACAGGACACCCTAAACCAATCTGCCAAAAGAAAATTATCTCCAATTCGTCGATCAAGAGCTTCCTTCCACCCCACATGAAGGGTAGAACAGCTGGTGAAGCAGGAAAACAATGCAGAGCTCATGAAGGAATCGTAAAAGTCAGAAACGAGCACTAAACCTGTATGGGGTCATACAGAACCTGGGGGATGGATGGGAATTACATCCAGTCCGAAAAGGAGATTAGTTCCAATTGGTTAGAACAAGAGCCCTTCACAGTATGCAATCAGAGGGAAGCGCTAAACCCACAAGGGTCATACAGCGCCTAGGGGAAATCAATGACAATCAGGGTCGATCCAAGGGAAGAGCAACTCCTGATCCTTGGAACAACAGCCCTTCACCAGCATCACACACACCTCCATTTTAAAGAAATATTTAAAAAATACATTAAGATTAACACTTAAATGTCCATCAGAGAAGTGTAATGATTTTTATGGTAGGGGGACGACCCCCACCCAGGGAGAACGACGTGGCGTGTCTCCTGCTCTCCCACGCCCGCATCCTCATCCACACGCCCACCCTGGCCACGCCTGCACCACCTCAACCCTCTACTGTGTCCCCTGGAAGCTACAACACTCAGAAAGAGTCCCTTACCATCATAGTGTGGCCATTACTGTAGATTGTAGGAGGCAGTGCAGCAGACACTTCGGCCGCCATTTTGAGGACCATAGAGAGAGAGACCATTGGCTCAATCACTCTATTATTAATAAAATGCTACACCCAAAACCATAAACAAAAACTAAAACAAACATATGTAAATCTTCCTCCATGAATTTAAACGAAATTTCCACATACACTTTTTAAAGTTCATACAGAACCAACATTCCCAACATTCAAGGACCCCCATGGAAATAAGTCACTTTTTCTGACTTTTTTTTGATTATCCTAGATAATTTACACATATATTGCTATATATGAAAATTTATATAACTGTATTTATGTGTACCTGCACTTGAATAAACTTATTTACTTACTTACCTCTTTGCCTCACAATAAATTCCAATTAACAAAACTCAAACACATCTAAATATGTAACACATATTTATTTTTTTTAATATAACTATCTCGCCTTTAATTTTACAAGCCCAATTCACAGGTAAAAGAAATCCATGGAAATTATAAAGTTTTAGCCCAGCTATTTCTGACAATCGACCTCAGGATTTTTTTTTCTCTTTTTTTTTTTGTCATAAAAAAAGTGGGAGGGAAATTTTTTCGACAAATTTTTAGATATAAAAATGTGTATTTCTTGGAAATTATCTTGAAGGAAGAGAAAGATGATGAAGGAAGATGAATGAAAAAAAAGATGGAGAAGATACAATATGTAAGAAGAAATATGAAAGAAAGTAAAAGCAAAACAAGAAGGGAAAAGAAGAAAGAAAATAAGTCACTTGGTCTGACTTTTTTTAGGGTGGGGTTATCCTAGGTGATCTACATATATATGGACTGGCTGGCAAGGCTCTCGCTTCACACGTTGAGGGTCCGGGTTCGATTCCCGGCTGGGTAGAAACATTTCGACGTGTTTCCTTACACCTGTTGTCCTGTTCACCTAGCAGCAAGTAGGTACCTGGGTGTTAGTCGACTGGTGTGGGTCGCATCCTGGGGGACAAGATTAAGGACCCCAATGGAAATAAGTTAGACAGTCCTCGATGACGCACTGACTTTCTTGGGTTATCCTGGGTAGGTAACCCTCCGGGGTTAAAAATCCGAACGAAATTTTATCTTACCTAGGAGTGTACAAGTGTACCTGAATCACCTTATGATCTCTGGCAGCATCACATACATATAACCTGCACAAAGCAGAGAGAAACTTAGCACGACGTTTCGCTCCTACTTGGACCATTGACGAGTCACACTGACACATGAAGGTGAGGGAACCAGTAATATATAGGCGACAGGGACGGGACCAAGAGAGGAAGATAAAGAAGTTGTGGTAAATGGTAGGTAGGTTTGGGGGTGTCCCGTAGCTGGGTTGGTAACGCACTCAGCTCACACACACTGAAGTCCAGAGGTCGATCCCCGGTACGGGTGAAAACATTAGGACGTGTTTCCTAAAGACACCTTCTGTCCATGTTCACCTAGCAGCAAAGTAGATGCCTGGATGTTAGTGAACTGGTGTGGGTCGCATCCTGGGGTCAAAATTGACCTAATTTTCCTGATATGCTCTGCATAACAAGGGGCTTTCTATATAGTAGTATGTCAGTGATGACAGCTGTGGTCTGTACACCTTGTACATGTGCTTGTAATTATTATTATTATTATTATTATTATTATTATTATTATTATTATTATTATTATTATTATTATTATTATTATTGATATAGGTTGACTACCGTCCACGGGATGGATATAGGGTGACTACCGTCCAAGGGATGGATATAGGGTGACTACCGTCCAAGGGATGGATATAGGGTGACTACCGTCCAAAGGATGGATATAGGGTGACTACCGTCCAAAGGATGGATATAGGGTGACTACCGTACAAAGGATGGATATAGGGTCACTACCGTCCACGAGATAAGCAGATGATTACTGCCACAGTACATAGGGTTTATGAAAAAAGAAATCAAAGTAACCTATCATTTTCAATTACTCAGATATGGTAAACACGAGGAAATTAAATCTTCATCAGAGTACAAAACAAATTCCGGCCACAAAATAGAGCGTAACACCAACGTCAAAGACCTGGGAGTGATCATGTCGGAGGATCTCACCTTCAAGGACCATAACATTGTATCAATCGCAGCTGCTAGAAAAATGACAGGATGGATAATGAGAACCTTCAAAACTAGGGATGCCAAGCCCATGATGACACTCTTCAGGTCACTTGTTCTATCTAGGCTGGAATATTGCTGCACACTAACAGCACCTTTCAAGGCAGGTGAAATTGCTGACCTAGAAAATGTACAGAGAACCTTCACGGCGCGCATAACGGAGATAAAACACCTCAATTACTGGGAGCGCTTGAGGTTCCTGAACCTGTATTCCCTGGAACGCAGGAGGGAGAGATACATGATTATATACACCTGGAAAATCCTAGAGGGACTAGTACCGAACTTGCACACGAAAATCACTCACTACGAAAGCAAAAGACTTGGCAGACGATGCAACATCCCCCCAATGAAAAGCAGGGGTATCACTAGCACGTTAAGAGACCATACAATAAGTGTCAGGGGCCCGAGACTGTTCAACTGCCTCCCAGCATACATAAGGGGGATTACCAACAGACCCCTGGCAGTCTTCAAGCTGGCACTGGACAAGCACCTAAAGTCGGTACCTGACCAGCCGGGCTGTGGCTCGTACGTTGGTTTGCGTGCAGCCAGCAGTAACAGCCTGGCTGATCAGGCTCTGATCCACCAGGAGGCCTGGTCACAGACCGGGCCGCGGGGGCGTTGACCCCCCGGAACTCTATCCAGGTAACCTCCAGGTAAACCACAGTCCGAGAATATAACACAGTCTATCTTCATTGATCTCCTTTTTCTGTCACAGAACTCCAATAGTTACGAAAGGTAGGACTTCCCTGAATCCGTGCTGGAGCTTGGCATTAAGTTTACTGAAGATTTATAAGTTTTTTAAGATACAGGTGCACATAAATACATTTACATAAATTAGCATACATAGCAGCATATGTGTAGATTACCTAGGGATTAGATAACCCTAAAAAAAAAGTCAGACAGTGACATATTACCATTGGGATTCTCCTCAGCAAGCTGATCTTAGATTTGAAATCCCTCTGTTTCGACCTTCTGTAATCAGACCTTCTCACCAATACAGAGAAAGGTATGCTACGCATCTGTTTGTATGCAACAAATACAATTTAGCTCCATTAGGTGTCCCGTAGCTAGGTTTGTAGGCCACTCAGGTCACACACTGAGGTCTGTAGTTCGATCCCCGGTATGGGTAGAAACATTAGGGCGTGGTTCCTTAAGACACCTGCTGTCCATGTTCACCTAGCAGTAAACAGGTACCTGGGTGCTATCCGATTGGTGTGGGTCGCATCTTGGGGGACAAAACTTTAATTTAACATCTTCATTATGCACCCTATACCCATCCTGTGGGCGGTAGTCACCCCATACCCATCCTGTGGGCGGTAGTCACCCCATACCCATCCTCTGGGGGTAGTCACCCCATACCCATCCTGTGGGCGGTAGTCACCCCATACCCATCCTGTGGGCGGTAGTCACCCCATACCCATCCTTTGGGCGGTAGTCACACCATACCCATCCTCTGGGGGTAGTCACCCCATACCCATCCTGTGGGCGGTAGTCACCCCATACCCATCCTCTGGGCGGTAGCCAAAGGATTACAGAGATACATAACCTAATTTGCCCGAAATGATCTGCATAAACAACGAGCTTTCTATATAGTACATCACTAATGTCAGCTATTGTCTGTATACGCTGTACATGTACTTATAGAAATATAAGATTATCATTATTATTATTATTATTATTATTATTATTATTATTATTATTATTATTATTATTATTGCCTTTTAGTAACGCTGACCGTGATGTGTCGAATTTTTCCTGGACAAATGAACGACTGCTTCAAGAAAGCAGACCTTTATTTTATCACCTCAATGCTAGGTCACTTACCCAAAATATGAGAAATTAAGATGCTAACAAACAAGACTAAAGCGGCAGTTATATCTATCTCGGAATCCTGGTTAGATGACACGGTGACTGACGAGGAAGTTAAAATAGATGGTTACAACCTAGAATACTTGGATAGAAATAGATAAGGTGGTGGAGTATGTGCTTATGTAAGACATGACTTAGCTTACAAGCCAAGACCAGTGACGGACCCACATTTTTGGGGCCTTGAAGCTTGGATTGTTATGGGGGGCCCCTTCGCAACCAGCAACGGCTAGCCTACATGATACAATGTGGACTAAAGTGGCTTCTGGGGCCCCTCCAGGGTTAGGAGCCCTGAAGCTTAAGCTTCATTAGTCTCATAGCAGATCCGACCTTTGACCAAGACACGATATATATGACAAACTGGTACCAGATGCAGAAGAAGCAGTCAGGTTTTATACAAGGAGAGGGAGGGCAGCTCCAACGACATCGGATCACGAGCTCTTCTCGATGACATCAAAACATTTACTTCCCTTCTTGTTTCATTGTGATTAGTCAATAGTCTAAGTCGGACCGACATGTCGTCACATGCTTCTTTCTCCTATGTGCGAGTTATCTGTGTATGTAAGTTAGGGTAGGTAAGGTTTGTCAGGAAACAAGACAAAATTAGTATGTACTCACCTACCTGTGGTTGGATAGGTCAAGTCTCAGTATCTGACTCTGTCTTATAAACTGGCTGTTACTGGTCCCACCCTTTCCTGGCTTCGTGTGGATACATAAGTATTGAAGGTGGTTTCCTGGATGTTGTCACGACACTACTGCGCAGTAGTCATACCCGGCTGGCGACACACTTCTTCCCTGTCACACCTGGAGGATAGCCGCAAGCTGTTCTTGGGGTTCTCTGAAGGACGATACAGTTGAGCACCTTGCGCTCTGTTATCCTAGGTTTTACACTGCTCGTACCGGACTCCGACTGGATCTAACTCAGAAAATGGTTTCTTAATGGCACTGATTTTGACCCAGACGTTGGCGTCTAGACCCAGACGTTGGCGTCTAGACCCAGACGTTGGCGTCTAGGCCCAGACATTGGCGTCTAGGC